GTTTTGGAAATGGCAACAATCAATTGTTGATTTACCATTTTTTTACAATCACACAGATGATTGAATAATGCAGTGTATATATTATAATTGAGTATAAAATAAAAAGTTAGGTCAAGGTTGAAGGATAGAAAAATAAGAGAAAAAAAAAAAATTGGTAAAAAATCGAAAAGAAAAGCAAAATGAGCAAATATTTTTTCTTTTGAGAGATAAAAAGATATGTGAAAAGTAGTAGAAATGATGGAGTAAAATGGAATAAGCGAGACAAATAGTAAGGAAATAATTTTTTATTCAACGGAAGAAATGATCGAAAAGGTTGGTTGAGTGAAATAAACATAATAACCTTGACAATTGAGTCAAAATAGTAGTACCTCATTCAGTGATGGTGACAAATGACAGTCATTTTAGGCTTCTTTTCATCGTAGTATAATGGTTATGTTCTGATTTCTTCCTAACTTTTAATTGATTTGATAAGAAATCATTCAGAATATCATCTAATTGAGAAAACATGGTTTAATATGTAAAAATTAATTGTAAGGATGAAATTTTACTTTTTAATTTAACTTTTTGATCTGTAATAAACTGATATCTTTTAAATTTAAATTATTTTATTATATTTCGTTCCTAAAGAAATTAAAAGATAATTTCAGCTGTTTTGACTTTGACATATTTCTTCCTGTTCTATATTTTTATCCTAATTTCGAACTAATCTTAACCAAACTGAATTGAATTTAAGCTCCTCGTTTTACAATAATTCTCAGACTATGACCTACTTTCAGTGAAAAATAATTTGACTTTTTCATCTATAATAAACTATCAAATATTCAAATGTTAAATTTTAAAATTCAGTGTTAAATCTTAAATTTTCTGCGAAAATCAATATTCACTAGCAAATGAATTATTTAGAAGAAAGTATGAAAAAAAAATTTTTTTTTAATTGTAAAGCAATGTAAAATTCAAATGTGAAAAAGGACAAAAAATAATTTAACAAAAATATATTCAGACATAAGCAATAAAATAAATGAATAATTGGAAACTTTCAATTATCTCATAAAATATATAAATATCTAATATCTATCGGTTGGCTTTTTCAATTTGTTTTTTTTTCTCATGCATATATTACTTTTTTCTTTCCCTTTTTTAAATTTTATTGTAATTTTTAATACAGTTTCTGTGGAAAATAATTCTTTTTCAAAATTTTTTTTTTTTTAAAAACGAATCATTCTGTTTTTTTTTTTTTTTATTCTTTTGTTTTCTGCACATAATTGTCACAACATATTTTTTAATAAAATTAAATTAATCAGTTGTTTCTGTACCTACATTGCTTTTTTTCGAACATTTACGTAATTTAAATTCAAATTTGATGTTTTTTTTTCTCAGATGCGTAGAAAATTTGTAAATTTATTGGTCTTCCGGAAATTTTTATGTTTGATTTTAAAAACATTTTCAAAGCCTAAAACAGTATGACATTATATTTTCAAATCGTTTATCAACTTAATTTGAATTTCCTATGTCCTTTATTCCCTTTTTGTAAATTAAAATGAAATCTCGCTTTGTGCTTTAACAAAGAGAGAGAGAGAGAGAGAAAGAGAAACCGATTTGTCCAGGAAAATGTTCCAGAAATTTCTGCTACAATGACACTACTAAGTGTTGACCATTTATGATAAAAGAGTTTCTAAATAATCTAGGGCTAATATTAGCTAATGCATAGAACTGATTTGACTCCTTGAAGATTTCAATCCGGAATTTTTTCCGGAAAAGTGGTTCGTTCAAATCGATGTTTCTCATCAATCCAAAACAGTACTGGTAGTACAAAACTGGAGATTGAAATAGTTGGTTGTAGAAATGTTATTCTAATGGATTGAATAAACTTTTTGTTTATTTAATTATAAAATTTTATTAGATTTTTTTGTTCCATTCTTTATTATTGAAATGCTTTTTATTTTAATTTCTTATTCTATCAGTTTCAAAATTTTATTTGCATTTTCGAAATAATTCGCAATAATAGCTATTTGATCATTTTTCAGAAATGTACAAAGAAAAAAAAAAAAAAAAAACTCTAACAAACATAAGAATAAATTTTTTTTCCTTCTCTCACGTAAATTCATAAAGTTTTTTTATTGGTGGAAAATGAATTGAGATTGAGAAATTAAAATAATAATTAAATATTATGAACTTAAAATAGCACTATGTCCTCTTTCATTGCTTTCTAACAACTATTTCTTACTGAAAGTGACAAAAGTTTTTATCTTATTATTAAAATCATATTCAATATTAATTTGAATGTTTCAGTGTCAGTTTTTGAAATAAATTATCTTTTTAAATTCTTAAATTATTTGAGCAAAATTTACATGCAGGTTAAGTAAATGAAATATAAGATATATTGTTTTAAAATGATTCTAAGTTTCATGTCCCTTAAAAATCTTCACTAATTTTTTAAATATTAAAATTTTTCTTGAATTTTACTAATTTAGATATAAATGAAGAAATTTGTTTTTTTTTTTTTTTTTGAAATCTTAATGGAATTCTAAAACTGTCGCAGTGAATGATTGCAGAATTTTCATCACAATAATCAAATTTGCATAACTAAAAGAAGATAAATCTCAAGTATGTAATTAATTATTAAAAATTTTGATTGTAAGAAATTTGCTTGAGTTAATAAATGAGGAAAATTTTTTTTTTAATTTTAATACAACAAAACTCTTAGTAACTGTTTCAATTCCTAATTTCAATATGATTCTTGACCGTCAATTCATTTTTTTAAATTAAAATGACTAACAAATTATTGAGAGTCAATAATTCTGAAATCATAAAATGCATTCAGTAGTTTTTTTTCTTTTTTCATTAAAAAATTAGGTTTATTATATAAATTTATATGTATATATGTTTAAAATTAGGTTTTTTTTATTATATATATATAAAAATACTACTATAAGTAAATATATATATAAACTTTTATAATTTCAAGATTTTTTGTTGGAAATAAATAGTGATTAATCTATTACCACTAATTTTTCCAAAATAGCACACCTAAGAGAGAGATTCACTATGGAAATTTGAAAATGTAAAATTATTTCATTGCTTGAAGTAATTTAGACTGATTGCTTTAATGATCCATAATTAATTAATTAATTAGCAGAAATCTGCTATTTATCCGTCTCATTTCAATTCAGTAATATTCAGTCGTCTCATTGATTTAAATAAATTTAAATAAATTGAATTACTATCTGAGCGGTGATGCTGCATTGATTATTTCTAAAAATTAACTTTCACTTGAAGAAATGTCACAATTCTATTGATTGAGAAAATAATTGAAGCAAATCGTTATAAAAGCATAAAACTTAATCTAACAATTTTTAAAACTAAAATTGTCAATTTAATTAATTATTGAATTTATTAGAAGCATCTAGAAGACTAATCATACATTATTTCTAAAATTTATTTCCATATTGAAAACAATAAGTAAAGTTTTTTTTAAAAGAAAAAATTCTTTTGCAAAAAACTACTTTTCTCAATTAACACAGTGTTATGCAGTAATTTTAAAAACTTAAATTTTTTAACTTTTAAACTGTTACAATCACTATGACACGTCATTTGATTCATTCATTTTTGTACCGTTTAAAATTTCTAAACTTGAAGTATTCATTGATTAGCAAAAAAAAAAAAAAAGAAAAGTAATTGGAAATGAATGAAGTAAGGAATAATATATCACATAACATTTGGCAAACAATTGGTGCATATAAATTTAGAAGGTCAAATTTACAAGAAAAAGTTTTTATGAAGAGATGGCATCTCTAAGTTCTATTATAATAAATATTTGACCTTAACCAGAAATGAGTGATACATTTTATATCTCTCTTCATTTCATTCTATACAACTCTTCAATAACATTCCGACTTGTCAATGTTTCACTAAAATTATCGTCCATCGTTGATCGAAAATAGAAATGTGTTATCATTTCATTAATTTACACTTTTTTGTTTTTCATTTTCCATTTAAAAAATTTATTGGCGAAATTTATAAATTTTATTAAATACTTTATTCAAATTTAATACGATATCCTTTGATGATTCACTTTTTTTTTTTTTTGTTTAATTTCATTTGCATGAAAATATTTCATTACTAATTTAATATTATTTAATCGTATTTATTGGAATAAATTTCATTTTATTTCGATAGATTAAATGAAATCATTGCAAATCAATGAAATGACTTTATATTGATTTCACATTTTAAATTATAATTTCTTTCTGCCAACTAACTAAGTTTACAATCTGTTTAAAAAGCAAAATTTCTGTGCATTCCAAATTTTCATATAAACCTAACAAATTTAATTAAATTTCTCTTTTTCCCAAGTTATCTTCTTGAGATATAAACCGTAAATTAATCAAAATTTCTCTTTTTGTAATTATTAAGATTTAATTAAAAATACTTTACATAGATATAGTGTATATTATTAATTTTAAAAAATACAAATTTAATAAATATAAATTTTCTTCTTGCTATCTTCCTCTTCCCGTGCAAAAAAAAAAAGAAAATTAATTGTAGAAGAATGAAAAAGATTAAACGATTAGTTGAGTATTTAATTACTTCCATAAGTTTTGAAGCAAATTTAAATTACAAATTTAATTATTATTACCTTCTTTTTAACAATCTTATTTATCTATGAATAAAAAATTAGCATATTTTTGTAATCATTGCTCTAAATTAATATTTATTTTAACACATTTAAACATTTCGATATTTTATTTTGTTAGTTTCATTTCCATAACAGAAAAATATGTATAAAAATAGAATGAAATTCATTAAAAAAAAATTTTTGTTTTTGTCTTGTTGTTACTGAAAGTAATTTAGAATGGAATAATTTGAATGATGCAAAATTTTGATAATTAATTTTTTTGCAGATGTAATTTTTATTAGATAATTAATTTTGAATTAGTCGATTAAAAACATCGATAACTATTTTCTGATGCTAATGCTTTTGTAACAAAAGTAATGGACCTATGCAGTACGCTTCTCCCATCTATCTTAAAAGGTTTTCATTTTCTCATTTATTTTATCACTAGTTAATTTTTATTATTTAGTTTATTTATTCAAATATCGTTCACAATCCTAAATTTAATCTATATGTTAATTTAAAATTTTACTAAATACAAATGATTGAAATGAAGATTAATTGATTTTCATGTTCATATAAAGCAATCGTATATTTATTTCATTCAACAATTTGCAAACGTAAATTCTTCATAATGACGTTTATCCGTGACGTTGATACGTTATATACGTGCAGATCACCGTATCGTCTTTATCGACCGTATCAGTTTGAAATTCAACGAACAACAATTCCTAACAATTCAGCAGTGCTTCATCGTACACCAAATCTTGATATCTTATCAGAAATTAATCGACGATCTAGACGACTCGAACGTATTGTTTCTTATCAAAAAATTTTAACAGTTACTCAGGTATTTTCGTTTTTTGTTTTGAATTTTTGATAAAAAATTGAATGTAATAAGTTTTACTTTTCGAAAACATTTGTAATAATTTAAGATTTATATGAGTTAATATGAAAAATTGAAAAAAAAAAGTCATAAATTATTTTTTTTTCATAATATATTTGGATTTAACTTTTACTTAAGAAATATTTTCAATATTTTCAATTATTTCGTTTTAAAAATTAGTGATAACTACTTACCTGTCAATTTGAATTTGCCATAACATGTTGAAAATTAAATTTGAATTTATTATAAATTTTTTTTACTATTTTTTTTTTTTGTTAATTTTTGCTATAAGAAAAGTAAAAACAGAAAATTCAAGTTTTTTTTTTTTTTTTTGATAGTAATTTTTCCTAAAATAAAAGAACAAAAAACTTTATAATTTAAAGCATAAAAAGCAACTAAATTATTAATTATTTGTGTTAATTTATAAATATCAAATACAGCATATATACGAAGGGTTAAATTTTATATGTTATTTTTCAATTAAAATAAATTACAAGAAATAATTTTCGTTTTTATTTCACATTTTAAAAAAAAAAAAACAAAAAAAAGGAACGATTCTTTTAGATGTTACTTTCACTACTTTTGATTATAATGGAAATGACAAAAATTTTGTTAATATGGGAGCATTTCAATAATTGGGAACAAAAATTTGTCCTCGTAAGTTTAATCATTCCTTTCATTTAAATAGCATTTAAATACTAATAAAATATACTAATTTCTTTTTTTAATCTTTTTTTTTTTTTTGAAAGTTAAAGTATTTGCAATTGAAAATTATGTTCATTTTGCTGAAAAGTTAGCGACAGAAAATTTTAGAAAATAATCGAAATAATAGAAAGAATTCAGAATGATAATTATTGATAATTTCAGATATGCGAAATGTTTCAACCAATACTTTTTGCTACTATTGCATTTATAACATTTTACAGCGTTTTGCGACCAACAAAAAGTATCACACAAATCGCTATCGCATCACTTGTCGCAACATTAATACCATTATTTCTGTTTCCCACTCAATCGCCATTTGTGCTCAGTAAGTTAAATTTTTCAATTTCAATTTTTAGTTTTTTTAATGATAAATTTTATTATCAATGAAATGCTCGTTTAAATGACAAATTGGATTATTATTATCAATGCAACTCAATTTATATAACTAAGAAAAAAAAAATCTGCAGAAATCATTTATAATCCATAAATTATTATTGTAAATTCTAATTTCTATTTTTAGTGATAATCAGAATTTTAGCGTTAATTTAAATTCAGTGAAACATTTTTTCTATTTTGTTCTTACTAAATTTGAAAATTTTCTTTCACTCTTTTTTTTTTTTGATTTGATTTAAAACAAAAGTAGACAAATTCTTTCAGCAAGATTATTTTCTTTTAAAATAAGTTTTATCTCTTAAAATTCACGACTGCTTTTTAATCGAGTTTGAAGTTTAAATTTTATTAAGTTTTATAAGAATATACATGTGCATATATACTAACTACCGAAAAATGTGAAAGGAAAAAACGAAAAGGTCATTCAAATGGAAGACACTTAGAGAATGTTGAAAATTTAAAAAAAAAAAAGAAAAGAAAAAAGAACAATCGATAACATCTGTAATAATGATAATTTAAGTTTATTATTTGATTAAATATTTCCTGTAAATAATTAAAACATTTTTCTTTCTTTTTTGTGAGAGCGAACGCTTTTATCGTTTATCAAAAACAGTCTAATATTTTCTTTAATTTAAAAATTTAAATTATATTTTAAAAGATTTCGTATTTGATTTCTTGCACAATGATAAAATAAGAACTGAATTTTTTTTATCAGTAAAAAGAAAAAAGAAAAATAAAAGACAAAAGGCGTTTTTTTTTTTGGAAATACAAATTTCAATCAAATTTAAATCAAAGCAATGTTAAATTTTTTGAAAAAATCTATTTATTTGCAATATTAAAAGTTAAATATTTTTTAAGTTAAAATTGTTGTAAATAACTTAACTTTTAGGACTAAATGAAAGCAAAAAAAAAATGAAAAAGACAAAATCAATCAATCATAATCATATTGCAACCATCAAACATTCTGTTCCACTTTTTTATTTTTTTATTTTTTTTTTTAAATCTCATCTTTCAAAAATTTGAAACTTTCTTTGAGTAATTTGATTTTGACGATAATTTCCACATCCGACATAAATGCGAGAAAGTTTTGAGGATAACATTTGACATAGCATTTCAACATTTTTTCAAGATGACAAAAAAATGGATAAATTTTCAGCTGTCAAAAAATAATCGCAATGAATTATGCAATAAATATATTAAACTTAATTAATATTTCATTTCGAATACAATTAAATAATTTCTTATTATTATTTAGTTCCATTCTAAAAATGTATGAGGAAATTTTACATTTACGCTATATGCTATGAATTTTTTTTTTTCTTTTACTTAAAAGATAAAAAGTGAAAATTTATCAAATCATATCAAAAAAAAAAAAAAAAAAAAACTTTAATATCAATGAATGGAATTTTTTTTTTATTGCAAAAATTGAAGAATAAATAATAGTTTCATTAGAATTTATTGCTACAGATGGAATTGAAGCAATGCGCTTGAATCGATTGATCGATCATCGATCGACAATATTAGCCGATGAAATGCAATCTGAAATTTCATCAATGTCAGATGGTTTGGGTAATTTCGAACGATTGCAACAATTAGCGCAATTACCAATTATTACACTTTCGAAAAATGTTAGAGCACAGGTACCACATTTACTTAAAAATTACTTTTTTAATTTTTTAATCAAAATTGTAAATTGTTTTGGAATTTATATGAATTATTAAATGTGTTTAACAAAACGATGTATAGTTTGATAGAATTTGTATCGTAAAAAAGAGAAGTAAAAAATATTTTAGAAATTATGAAAATTAAATTATTTTAAAATGAAATTACATCAAAAAATTTTTGAACATCGAACTTTAAGCGATAATATTGTTTAGTCTAATGATATGATTATTGCTTAATTTGACAATGTTTACTAAAAGTAGAAAAAAATAATTAGTAGTTTGTTATTTGTTTTGTCAAAAAAAGAAAAAAAATAGAAATGATATTTAAATTATAAAATTTAGGCAATAATTTATAATACCACCTAAAAATTCTAATAATAGTTGTAAAGAAAAAAAAAATAATTCACCATAAATGCTAGTAAAATTTAATAGCAATCAAATGCAATGAAAATAAAATTATATTTTATAAGAAACGAATTAATTAAATTTTAAAAAGAAACTATCCCATAAGATATGAAAATATTCAAAAATAAGTTAATTCAGAGTATTTTAGATTTGGAATAATTTCAAACAAATATTTAAATATTTTCAAAATTAATATAGCAATGACAAAAAAATAAAACATTATAATTTTTATATTTAAATATATTTTTAACTTAACAGCAAAATCTTCAGGATTGGAAGTCAATTCCGACTTTTTCTTCAGCTATACCTTCTCCTTTATCATCATCATCACTGTCATCCTTATCATCCTTATCATCATTATCATCATTATCAGCAACAACAACAGCAACAACATCATTCTATTCAATTCAACAACTGCTCAGTTTGCAATATTTACTTATCGCTTATGCGTTCATTTCATTTGCTTATTCCATTCTGCTAGTTTTGATGTTAATTTCATATGTTCAACTTATTCAGCTACAGTAATCCGAATAACCTTTCTGCACATTTGATATTTTTATTGATTGATTAGAGTTAAAGGTTATCATTATATGATAAATATGATTGATTGATTAGAGTTAAAGATTATCATTATATGATAAATATGATTGCATTCATTTATATCATTATATGATAAATATGATTGCATTCATTTATAATACTTTAAAATTCACATAAGAGCATGTGAAATGTTTATGATTTATTTGAATTTTAACAAAAAACTTATTATGTGATATGTAAATTTATTGTTTTATTTTTAATTTGTTAAATAATTAAATGAATATAAGTTTTCTGATTGAAGTTTTTTTTTTTTTTTTTTTTGAGGATATCATAATGAAGAATGATAATAATTAGGGAAACGGATCAGAAAAACTTGATATTCAATTTTTATTTAAAATTGATATCCAATTTTTGAAATATCACTTTTATTCCTGCTCGCTAAATAATAAAACTTTCTGCATATTATCAATAATTACCTTAGCAATTTTCTTTTCCAATGTGTAATTTTTATCAAATTATCGTTGGATAAGAAAAAGTTACTTCTAACATTTAAAGACTAAAATTAACTGATAGTTAAACTTCTTAGCTAAATGAAATTAATAAATGGTAATGACCCATTTTTTTTTTTTCAATTATTCTGCTAATTAATTTCTTTACTTATAAGGAAAAATAATTAGAGTTAAATAAATGTTTTATTTGTTAAATGTTAATATAAATGTTTAATTTTATCAGTTTTTTTTTTTTTTTTTTTTTTAAATTTATTTTTATTATTTTTGTTTCTTTTCAGTTGACAAAAGCAATTGAAGAAGCACTTCTTTATAAATTGATGCATAGTTTAATTTAAATTTTGCATAATTTTTAAAATTTTATTTTGTTTTTTTTTTTTTCAGTTATATATAAATTCTAATTGTTCAAATTAATTTATCAATTAATAATTGGAGAAAGTAATAAAGCAATAAAAATACTATTTCATATGATTGTTTTGAACAAATAAGCTATTACTAATGCTAAAACAATAATCATAAACGATTTGATAGAATTTTATTTGAAATTTTCATTTTGTTTCGGTTTGAGTTTTGAGTTACTTTAAAAAAGATATAAACTAATTCATATTGAACAAAATGTTATTTCTATTATTGCAATTTACTTTTGAAAAGAATTTTTTTTTTTTCTGTTGATTTGATTTATTTTATCAAAAATGAGTGTTAAAATTAAGCCATTTTCTTTTGAATTTGATTTAATCTTTACTTTAAATTGAAAATTATTTGAGATATTCAATAGCTTTCTTTTTTTTTTTCAAATACAATTTATTTTCTTCCTTGTAATTCATTTATTTTCAATAAAAACGAAATCACAGGAAATGAATAAACTGTAACAAAATGTTTAGCAAATGTTTTTTGCTACGTTTAATACATTTTGATTTTTGATTCTTATGTGTTACTTCTTAATGATATAAATTTTTTAAAATAAGTCACAAATAATTTTTCAGAGTAATATTTACTGTAAGCTAACAATTAATTATAATTAATTTTTTTTTAAAAAAAATTAAATTCTTTGTTTTCTATAAAAAATTTCCTTGAAAGCCTTTGTTAGAGTATAAAAGTGATTTGATAAGATACAAAAGAAGGAATTTCCACACTCTCAAAGGAAGTGAAAATGAAATCTCATTTTGACTTCCTTTCAGTGTCATAGCAGCACTAATTGAAATTTTATTATAATTGTAGAAATCAGATAAATCTCACAACTTTAGCCTTTATTTTATTTTTTTGACAGTTTCCGTCAAATGTGCAAGTGCTAACTTCCGCCACGAATAACTCAAATAACTATCAGTGAAATAATAAACAACAAAAAATTGTCAGTAAATGAAATGATTCATTCATTATGCTTTAATTATTTAAAATTTATTTTGCTTTATTTACAATTTCCATCAAACTAGAAAAGAATTAATTGACAAAAAGAAAAAAAAATACTTTTTTGGTATTTCTAAATTAATCTTTAATTTTTTTTTTTTAAGAAAACTAACCATAAAATAAATGTTAGTGAAATCATTCAAATTCATTTGACTAAGTTCACAAATACTTTTTACAAAATGATAAATTAAGAAAGAAAAAGAATTATTTTTTTTATTTGATTTTGAAAATATTTCAGCTCAGCATAAAACCTATACTCTAATAATAAAAAATATAACTGAAATTTGGAAGTATTTTAGTTTTTACTTTATGAAAAAAATCCTTTCTTTCTTTATTTATATGCAGAAATTATTAATTTCAATATATACAATACAATTTATTATAGACAGGAAAAGTTTCAAATTTTAAAAAAGATTTAAATATTTTACGGATTAAATCGATCAGAATTGAAAAAATTTTATACATATAAAAAGTATATTAATAAAAAATAGTTGTTTCTTTCATAAGGCATATCACAAGTGACAATCTGTTGTTTGGAAAAAATTTTTGTGCAAAACGGTTCACAAAAACACTAATATCACAAATTTGAATAATATATATTATTTAAGGAATATGAAATTTTAATTAAAATATAATTTCTGATTTTTGAAATCAGTAACAGATAGTTTTTTTTCAAATAAAAATAAATTATTTTTGACATTCCAGAATATTTATATTCTAATTTATCAGTTTAAATTAATGTAAAAGAAAAAGAGGAAAAAAAAAACATATAATTAAAATTTACAAAAAAAATTTTTTTTCTTTAATATTTTCTTTGTTTTGTGAATTTTATTAAACTTTAAAAAGTTTTTTCCACTTTTTATTCTATTCATATTTCAGCTATTAATTTTCTTTTGACACTGATTTTTGAATATTATTTAAAAAAATGTTTTGTCATCTTTTTTTTTTTTTTTCAAATATAAAACAAACTTTTTAATAAACTTTTAAAAACTTTCATTAAAAAACAAAAAAAAAAAAGAAACGAAAAGAAAAAAGAATTTTCTTTTTTTTTTCGAATAGATATGTTTGCATGCTTCAACATTTAGTAAACAACTTCGAAAAAATGACAAGGAATTTATAATTCACTTTTATTATCATTCTCACTCAATTCTCATTCAATGCTTCAAATGAAGAGCACAAATCTGAATGTAATTTTTTACTTACAAATGAGAACAACAAAAAAAATTTCATATCAAAATGAAATTTGACCAAATAAAACTTTTAATTTCAATTTTTTTTTTTTTTTAAATTTAATATTAAACAGAAATGAATGAAATAAACAATTCAAAAGATTATTTAAACTTTTTTTTTTGGCTTTTCGTTTTAATTTGAATAAATTTTTTTATTTGATTTTTTGATTCAATAAAAAAAATTATCAGAATTCATTAATAATATGAAATTTTTGAATTTGTTAGGAATGTATATATGCATGTATGATATGTAGGGTAAGAAGAAATTAAATATGATGAATTAGTGATAAAGTTTGAATATATCAGTAGGTAACCTGTTTACTTACTTATCTACTGCCTGTTTAAGAGCTGATATGGAATTTGCTGATATTAGCTTGAAGACTTTTACAATGAGACTATTTCCGTTTTCATCTTTTCTGCCTAAGAAAAAACTTTTCCCGAAGGCAAATTGAGGAATGACTACGTCCGTAATAGTATTAGTTCTCATCCCTTTTCAATTTAATTGAAAAACTTTTGTTTCGCTCCTTTTTTTATCTTTTTTTTTTTTTACTTTCAGTCAACTTTTTCTTTTATATTATTCGCTCTACCAATAAGTCATTCATGTCGTTTTAATAAATATTAACTTATTTAGATAAAAAAAAAACGAAAGCTTATTAAAAAAAAAAAAAAAAAAAACTCAATCTTCATTTTTTTTCATTTTTTTTTTATTTTTTTTCTAATGATAAAAAATAAAATTGAAAATAGAAGCAAAGCTATTCATTTTCAAGCAAAAAACGAAAAAGAATTTCATTTTTTGTTTAATAATCTGAGAAATAGGCGCAATTCGTCAAATAGATAATCGTATTTTTTTTCTTTTTTTTATATCAGATAAAAAAAAAAAATCGTAAGTTTTGATAATTTCGAATGATTCTAATTTAATTTTAATACGAAATTTCAACACTCACTCAACATTTTCAGCATTACATTGACAATTAAAAAAAGATGAAATTGCAATTTTAAAAATTTTTAATAATTATTCATTGATTTAATGTCAAAAAATAAAAAAACAAAAATAATAGACACACAACTACTGAATGTATTTGATCATATCACATATCAAAAATTTAAATAATATATAAGTGAAATTAAATTACTTATTTCATTTCCTTGGTACCTCTGTTCTATGGTTATTTTACAGATAGCGCTAACTGACATGGCGCTAATAGTATGGCACTCTAAGCGCTTTACAGCAACTGAGCTAAACTTAACTTTATAATTATTTAGCAATGATTAATTATCTTTTATATCACCTATGATTGACATCGAAGTGTTATGTATCGAGAAAGATATACATCCAACGTCACAGTTGTTTTATGTTTCTATTTGCGTCATTTAAATTATAAATTTTACCATCTGCAACTTGGCCAATGATATAAATTACCATCTGAAATAAATAATTTTCAAAATTTTTAAAGCGTTGAGCAAAAAAAAAAAAAAAAAAAAAAAAAATTAAATTTTAAATAGTCAATTATTTAGTATTATATGCTAAGAATTACAAACTTTTTCCCATTTTAATAGTTACTTATTCATGCAAAGCGTTAATGCTAATTACTGCTTGTTGTTAAATTAGTTTAGCCTTAGGTACTAAGTAATACGTTTCATTTGCAGTTTTATGCGCAACCAGTATAATTACCGCTTAAGGTTTAGGAAGATCAAATACAAATGCATTATTATCATGTGCCATTTTCAAAAAATATCACTACGACATTCCAAATTTTCACTTTTTTTCTTTTTTTTTTTTTTTTTTTTTGAGTTAATCAATAAATTAAGTTCAGAAAAAAGTTCGATTTTTCACTTTATATATTAAAAATATATAATCAAAATTTGTTTTTATTATTTTGAAAATGGGAATAGAATTTGTTCTTTCTCACTTGGGTTAATAGTTCAAGAACGTTACTTCTAAAAACTTCTTCTAAACTAGGATTAAAATAATACTAAATCATCTTGAAGTTTGACCAAAATCATTAATGACAAATTTAGCGAAATAACTGACAATCAATAAGCATTACGGCAACGAATTTTAAAATTTCATTGATTTCGGTCTCAGCAAAGGAAGAAAAAAAAAGGGAAAAAAAATCTGTGAAATTATGTTAAATCTTTCCTACTCTTCACTTATATCTATACATATTCTTACCATTTCATATCATAGTGATAAAACCATGTTTGCAATGCTAAATATACAAATTAATTAGACAGTAAAATTATCAAAATGATTAGTTAAATTTGAACTTAATTTTAGATATTTATATGTAAAAATGTAGGAAATAGAACCAACTGATGAAGTAGTAGGAAAAAAAAATTTTTTTCCGAATAACTTCGGGAAAAAAACCCCCGAGAATAGCTCGAAACTAATGCAAGACTTTGAAGAGAAAAAAATTTAACGAAATTTTGTTAATAATCAACAAGAAAATGAAGAGGAAGAAATTGTTAAAAGTGGAGGAGGAGGAGGAGAAGGCGGAAGAGGAGGTTGGCGCAATTGGAAAAGGCGGAGACAATCGTAAACAGATACCAAAAACATCATTAGCGCTAAATAGCCTGAACGGCTAACATTATTGCCTCAGGCTGGTATCTGTTCTTTGGTATCACAGTCAATTAAGCTATTATTATCACTGCTGTTGTTTGATGTTCTCGAGTCTCGATTATACGATCATTTTGAGTGCTATGCTCTTGATTAGGTCATTGTTGGTACTATGTACCCAATTAGGTCATTGCTCTTGCTAAGCACTTAATATTAGATCCCAATTAGGTCATTATTGAACTCAATATTAGCAACATGTGATTAGATTATCATTATTAAATTACTACTGATATCATATATTCTGATATGTTATCATTGATATTATCAGATTGCCCAATTTCTTTTTCCAATTTTCATTTTCAAATTATTGTAAAAAAAAAGATTTTCGCATAAATAAAATAAATATTATAATGTTGAAATTTTCTCTTAAAAAAGCATTTAGTTTTTATAAAAATAAAATTTGAAATGATATGAAATTTCATTTTGCTAGCAAATTTTAACAAATAAATTAAAGTTTATTTGTTAATATTTGAAATGAATTAAAAGAGAAAGAAGCATAGAAATTTGAAAAGCAATCATTTCGATTATTTTACTAATCCTTACTAATTAAATAGTTAAATGATAGTGATAGCAAAAGTTTAAACAAAATCACTAATGCTACATATTTTCTTTTAATCTTATAAACAAAATATGGCACAACATGAAGCATTTATTTATTCATTTATTTACTTACTTATTTACTTATTTCTTTTTTTTTACAAAGCAAAATACTTCAAAATGTTTTTTTTTTTTTCTCCATTCTTTCCTTACTTATATATTCAATTAAACATTATTCTATTAAAATTTGTAATTTTAAATTTTCCTCTTCTGTAATTTACTTTCCTTAGTTTTTTTCTTTTCTTTTCTTTTTTTTTGGCCCAAAAAGATTAAAAAAAAAATGTATGAATGAAGGGAAAATGATTAGTGTTACTCATTGCAATCTTTTTTTTCATCTTTATGATGCATTTCAAATATCAAATATTCCAATTTTTTTTTTCCCAACATCCTTTTTTAAAGATAAACAACTTTATTGAACTTAAAGCTCTTTAAATTTCTTTCATCCATTAAAACATTCTAAAGCATATTCAAATGGTTACTTCAATCATAAATGATAGCTTAACTTTCTTTAATTGTGGAAAAGTTGAAATATTAAATTAATATACGATTAATTTGATATTTCAATTTGATATTGAATATTTCGATTAATTTAATATTACAATTCTAATTACTAATTTCTCATTTTGCTTTAATTCATAATTACTATACATTTCACCTAGATATTTTTATCATTTGCTTATTATCTTATCTAATTAATGTATTACAAATTTTTTTTTTTTACAATCTATTACTCAACAACGAAACATTTACTTATCAGTGATAATGATTAAAGTTTATGTTTATATTTATCATTTGGAGTAATTTTAGATATAAAAAAATTTTTCGACATGTAAAATAATTATTGCATAAAGTAATAAAAGTAAAAAAAAAATATTTCCTAGTGAATGACTTATCATTTTTGTCAATTATTATTGTTAAATTTCGTTTTTTTTTTTTTTCACATTACTGATTTTTCTAAATTTTACAATGAAATATTAGTAACTCAGTAATATCAATAAATTAAATTAAATTAAAAAAAAAAAAAAAAAGAAAAAGAAAAAGGAAGAATCAGTAAAAGGAATATTTTCTTTTATTGATTAATTAGACAATTTTGATAGATTTGTTTTTTTTTTTTTTCTTTTTTGATCGATCGATGTATTTTTCAGATACGATTAGCAGTTCTATCATCAAATGATCTGCTAGAAAGTTTAAATCGATTGCTTTGCAAACTTTTGCTGAAATTACATTTCAACAAAAGCAAAAAATTATTAATAATTTATGAAATATTTCAAATTTGTGAAATAATTTTAATTTTTTTTTCTTTTTTAGTTAAAATTGACGCATTTATTGAATTTCAAAAAATTGTTAAAGTGCTAAAATTGAACAAAATAATTTGTGAAATAAAACGCTAAACGTACTGTTCGCAAGGAAATTCTTGATGAGCAGCCGAACGACAGTATCATGTGTTGATGTCAATGATATTATGTCTGCATTTGGTGATTGGACATTAAGGCTTGATGTAAAGGTAACAAATATTTATAATCATCTATCATTGTTCTAATAAAATTTCATTTTTTTATTTTTTAAAAAATTTAAAAAAAAAAAAACTGAAACTGAAGTGTATAAATTTTGATTTGAGGGGTAAATCAAATTAATAATAAGCATTTTAAAGCATAAAATCATTCAAAACTAGCATAAAATTAGATAATAATAATTAAAAATTTAAAAAAAAAAAAAAACACTTCAATATTATCTAAAAAATATTCCTAAATTCATCTCTCTTTCATATTTTCTGTTAATTTACCTCTTTTCATCTTATTTGCAATTAATTCCTGTGTTAATTAATTTTAAAAAAATGAAAAATGAAGTATTGAGGTTAATAAATCCATAAGCGAATGGTGTTATCAAATCAATTTAGCATCAACTGATTAAATTTAAATTTGTCAAAATTCTTTTTTAGTGTGTAAATGAAAGAAAGTGAAACGCTAATAATAAATGTAAAAATTCAATTTAAATACATTCCATCCATTTTCTTAAAAGCAATTTATAAATTCAGAATTTGTTTATCATTTTTTGCATTTAAATTAAAATTAATTAATGGATATTTATAGTATTTTGCATTTAAGCATAAATTTATACGCAATTTTTTCAAATGTTTTTCCACTTTTTTTTTTGCTTTAAAAATTTCAAAAGCTTTTTTATTTGTTTGTTTTTTTTCTCTGTTAATTTCTGATTATATGCAATGAGGCATCATTATTTTTATGCATAAATAACTGAAGCGTAAACAATAAGGCAAACAAATTTATCAGACTCAAAATTTTTCATATTTAGAAATTTTTTTTTTCAAATTTTTATCTGCTTTCGTAACATTTTATTAATGTATATTAATCTTAGAAGTGCATTCATCTATTTTTTTTATTCTTATCCTTAAAATATATTTCTCTCATATAACTTCAATTAATCTTTCTTAAAAGATCTTTTCAAAGTAAAACTAAAAAAAGGAAAACTTAAATTTAATATACTGAGCACTAGAGAGGAATGGTATTGAATTTATAAAAATTTTGTTTCAAAAAATGATTTAAATTTCATTCTAGCACTTTTTGATATTAATTATTCATTAATGCTCTTGTTATTATAACTTTGATTATTTGCTAAAAACTAAACAAATTTTTTTTGATTTTTTAACTTTAAATTATGTAAGCTAGAAAAACAGAAAAAAAAAAAAACGAAAACTAAAAAATGATGCATTAATTAATTTTTATAATATCTTGAGAGAAAAAAAAAGAAATCTTTTTGAAAAATAAGTGATTCTATCTTTTTTTTTTTTTTTTTTTTTTAATTTCTTAGCAACATCTTTTTCAAAAATTCATTTGAATATCATATGTAAAGTTAATGTAATTTGATGTATCGCTGGAATTATTATTTTTAAAATTTCATTTCTTTTTTTTTTTAATTTTCATCAATTTGTTGAAAAAAAAGATTTGCTCAAATAATGATTATAATCGACAAAAAGCAAGTGTTTATATAAACAAATGATAAACAATTGGAAAATAAATAAATAAATATGAATGCGAGAAATGTGAATTTTAATAAAATTTTTACTTCCTTTCTTTTTTTGCTATTTTTTTTTTTAAATTTATCATTGAAAAATAGTACACTCATATCATTCGTTCAAAAAAATATATTTGAAAAGGAAACTGCAAATTAATTAATACTTAAAAAAAAAGACTTAAAAGAGTTAATTTAAGTAAGATAGTAGCTAGAAAGAGAAGTTGAAATGAGTTAATGATGATTTAAAGAATGTAAAAATGATTGGTATAATTAGTTTTTTTTTCTTCCTTCTTTTAAAAATAAAAAAAAATAATTATTGTAATTACTAGGTGAAGTATAAGTAATATTCTTGAATAGTTCTTGAGAACTAATTTAAAAAAAAAAAAAAAAAAGAAAAAAGGAAATGCAAATATGAAAGAAATTAGAATATCTCGATATCTCAAGAAAATTTGAAAAATAAAATGAAAGAAAAAAAAAGCAAAACTAAAATTTCAAATTATCATTTTCACTTTTTTTAACCTTTAATTATCGAAACTTTTTTTTTAGAACAAAAGTTCAATTTTTTCATTAATTATCAGTCATTCATACCAAACTTCCTCCTTTTTTTTATTATTTCAATTGCAATTATATTCAATTTTTTTTTTTCAATAGCTTAATATTTAGTAATGACATTATCATAGATCCATTTAAAATTTAGTTCAAAAATTTAATAATTAATGAACAAAAAGTCAAACTTTATTTTAAAAATGATTGGTATAATTATCGGTCTTTTTTTTTTTTTTTTTTGAATGATATCATTATTAAATTATTTTACAAAAAAAGTATTTAACTATTTTAATATTTAACACTATTACTATTTTAATTAAAAAAATATTTAATATTTAACAAATTTTTCAACAAATATTAGACGATTGTTATGCTTCTTCACAATTTCAGGTTAAAAGTTAAAAATTGAAATAAAATAAATTTTTAAAAATATGCTATGATTGAGTTTTATCTCTTTTACATGCAATTAAGTTTATAAAATTTGAATGATATATGCTCAATCTTTGAAAGTCATATGTCAACTTTTGTTTGTTTATTTTTTTATTATATAGAATGGTTATTTGAAGTTTATAAGTAATATTCATAAAAAATAGTTTACTTGAAATTGAAGTGGAATTTTTTTTCTTTCTTTTTTTTTTTTTTTTTTTGTGAAATTTTCCATCCTTCTATTTTGAATTCTTTTCATTTTCACATTTTCATTCATCCAACTTTCAATATTTATTTCTATTGAAGCATACCTCCTCTAAATGTGAATAATTTATATTTTTATAAATATAAATAATACATAATTTCTTATAAATTTCATATTTTTTTCTTTTATTGCCACTTTTTTTTGCAATTTTTTACAAAAAAAAAAACACAAAATGAAACTTTAAAACAACAAAAAATATATATATATATTTTTTTTTAGAACTTTTGCTATTAAATATAAAAATGTACCATAATTTCATTTGAATAAAAAAAAAAACATTCAAAATTTTGACTTTTTAAATCCTGAAATTATTACTTGATAAAAATGAAAAGTTTTAAATTACAAATTTCATAGAAGAATTTTTTTTTTCTTTTTTTTAATAATAAATCTTATTTTGAAGTTCATTTTTGATATCAAATTTACAATTTCATCTTTCTAAAATTTTAACATTATTGATGTTTGCATTATTCTCTTTTTGTCATAAATAAACATTCATTCTATTTCCCTAGTGAATTCACTTTTTTTCCTTTTTAAGGCCAAAAATGCCAGCTTTTTGTGTCAACTTTTCAGGCTTGCAATAGTGTTTGGCCCCAGTATTTGAAAGATTTTGAATTCTAACTTGGCTACTTTAGTAAAATGCAACCCATTAATGTTGAATAATAATGAAGACAGAGTTAAAAAATAGACTTTAAAAAAAAAATGAACAATTGAAGTTTTTCTTTCTTTTTTTTAAAAAAAAAATGATTTCTCTAAGGAGAAAAGTGCAAATACATTTTAGTTTTATTCTTTGAAAAATTTTTCTTTTTATTTTTTTAATCCAACAAATATTTTAATTTTTTAAGTCAATTTAACCTAATTAATTACAATTATTTGTTTTGTGCATATTATTCATATTCATTTATCGTTCAAAATTTACACAATCAAATCGTTCAACTATGAAATTCGTTTTTTTTTTTTCGTTTAGTTCATTTAAAGTTTAAACTAACTTTTTTTTTTTTTTTTTTCAAGCTCATTAGCATAGAATGATAATTGGAATTTCTTAATGGTTGTCACTATAGTTGTTGACAAAATCTTTTCTTTCTTTCTTCTTTTTTGAACTGTAAGTGATGATAAGTTAAAAAATCAAATTCATCATTTTTTTTTTTTGTTTTTCTCCCTCTCTCTCTCTCTCTCTCTCTCTTTCCTTAGAAAAAATAAAACAAATCATTGAATATTTTCAAAGAAAAAAAAAAAGGTCTAAAATAAGCTGTTTTTATACTTCAATCTGATTTGTTTTTCTCCTTTCCCAAGAGGTTGCAGTAAATTGTTGTAAATCGATGATGCAAAAAACAACTTCAACTATTTATTTTAATCGGTCATTTAAATTTTATTAAAAAAAAAAAGAAATGAAGAAAGGAAAAAAAAAGAAAACAGAAAAGTAAACTGAAAATGAACAATTTATTCATATATTTTCTTTTACATTTTGATAATAACTAAAAAAAAAAATTAGTCTTTAAATAATCTTTGTATCAAAAAAAATAAAATTATTAACAAACGTTAAAAAAAAAAAAAACAAATAATTTTTGGGATTTTTGATATTTTCTTCTTTTAAATGTAAAAAAAAAAAATGAAATGTGGAATTTTTTTACAAATTAAAAAAAAAATCAAATATGAAATAATTAACTTTGAAAATTTTTTTAATATATCAAATATTATTAAATAATTTTTTTTGACTGCTTTTTTTCTTTTTTAGTTAATTTAATTTATTAAAATGAGAAAGCATTTTATTAAGTTCAAATAGAGTTTCATTATTTCAATAAGTGAATGCAATATGAATATTTCAAATAGAACTTTGATGCTTTTTAAAGGACAAATTCATTCATTCATTCGTTGTTTTGTTTTTGTTTTTGTTTTTTTTTTTTCTAAAAAAGAAATATTCAAATGATGTATTTAAAGTGATCTCTTCAGTATTATCAAAAGAAACAAAATGAAACAGAAAGAAAGAAGAGAGAAAGAGAGAGAGAGAGAGAGAGAAAGAGAAAGAAAAAAAATGAAAAAATTCTGGCAAAAATATTTAATATATTTTTTTATATTTAATTTAATTTTTTTTATAAGAAAATTATTCCTATGAAATTAGAGCATTTAATGATGGAAAACCCAATTCCTGTTGACTTTCTATAAAAGAAAGATGAAGAAATATTACTACCGGAAATGAATCGGTTCAAGTTTGCTACCCATCCGATACTGATTTTATAGTTTCATAATTTCAGGATTACAATATTATGAGTTGAATACATTGCAGTCCTAAAATTAGCTGATAAAATGGATTTCAGGAAGAAAAAGCAGGAAGAAGTTCTTTTTCTTAAAAGGAAAAAAACGCATTTAAATGCAATTGCCGCTTCTTTGTTCTGAACAGAACAGAGAAAAAATTTTTTTTCCCATTGTTTTGATCATAAGCAATTATGTGAATATAAATTAGATTGTAAATTCTATTGAACAAATTTTACAGAATATAAAATTAGTATTCAAGTATTAATATAAAATTAATATTCAATCAGTAACTTTGTGATAATTTTATTAAATTAAATAAATCTAATTAAAACTGAATTTAAAAGTGAATTTTAAATAAATTTTATTGGTGGAAGAATCATAGAAAAAAAAAATAGGAATAAATAATTAAAAAAAATTTAAAAAAAATGTTTTCATAAATAATTTAATTCATTTATTATATAGCATTTTAAATTTACGATAAATAATATTGATAACATAAAAGATATAATTACATTCAAAATTTTAGGTCTTTTATTCTGCTCTTTATGCGACAATATTTGTTGTTGGATTGATTGGTAATGGTTTACTGATTGGAAGTTTAGCAAAACGGAAACGAATTTCAGTTCCGAATATATTTCTCATTAATTTAGCTATTTCCGATTTGGTTAGTGCCTCGTTCATTTTTATGCATTATCTTTTAAAAAGCAAAATTGCAAAATTTTTATTTTAAAAATTTTTTATTTATTTTTTATTTTAAAAAATTTTATTTTTTTTTTTTTTTTTTTTTTTTTTAAAATTTTTTTTTTTTTTTTTTTTTTTTTTCTTTGTTTAAAAAAAAAAAAAAAAATTTTAATAATATTTACCAATATGCGAAATAATTTTCCATAATTTCTTTTACAACTATATAAAATGATTTTGCTAATTTCCACAACAATTATAAAATTATTTCGATAAGTAATTTTAACATTTTTTTTATTGAAATGCAAAATAATTTTAAGTAACTTTTTTACAGGAATGTAAAATAAGTTTGATAATTCTTGTAAGCTTTAGAAGTTCGTTTTTTTATGTACAATATTTGATATAAACTTGATATTTTTTTATTGCAAAAAAAAAAAAAAAAAACTTATAAATTCTTGCTAAAATGATTTGAAAAGTTTAGTGTAATTTTTATTTATTAAAAATAATTTTTTTTTTTCGACAAAGATTTAATAAGAATTTGTCAAATTTTTAATGTTATAAAAAATCTTTTCCTCTCTTCTTTTTCATTAAATTTCATTAAGTATTGCTTTTTTTTTTCGTTTTTTGATCTACTAAAATGAAGTTTTAATTCTTTTCATCGAAGTTATTGATTTATTTTTCTCCTTCTTTTATTATCTAAGTCATATTTTATATTTTAATAAAATTTGACAATTGTGACATTAAGAGAAGGCGCAAAATGCATGGCGCATTTTGGCATTGACAACAACAGCCAGGAATAGTTAAGTATTCAATTTAAAGAATTCTCAATATCTCTATCACTATGCAAAAGGAGCAAGTGGCACTTGTTGAAATCAATAAAATTTAATAGAAAATAGATTGGCTATTTCAATGATTTTGAGTACATTTGAGTTACTAAATAAGGAATTGATGTCATTTTCAATGATTATTTAAAATGTTGTTGATCAGATGAAATTTTTAAAAAAAAAAAAGAAAAAAGATTGTCAAAGGGATATGTGATAATTTATCATTGAAAAAAGAATCAACGATTAATCAATGATAATCAAAAAATATAAATTTTTATGTATTTTTTTTTTTTTTTTTGGATAAAAAAAAACACTTCAAAAAAAGATGCCGATAATATGAAATTTGAGGAATAGGAAAATATTAAGAAAATAAATTGACTGAAAGTTTTTTCAGAAATCTTTTTTTTTTCGTTTTTCCGTTTTTCCATTTTTTTTTTTTTTTTGACAGTGAAAGAAAAGAAATGAAAAGTCTACCGAAAGAGTTTTTTTTTTCTCATCAAGTCAATAGCAAAATATAAAAGTTATTGAAAAAAACTTTCACAAATGTTACTTTCATCCTTAATTTTTTCTTTCGCTTTAAAAAAAAAACATAAAAGTGTAATGTGATATGTTATCATTTTCAATGATTTTTAGAAATTTTTAATTTATCAGAAATTTTTTTCCAACAAAAATTTTTTCGCAATTTCTTGATTTGATGTATTATTCTTAAATATGAAATGATTGAATTAATACTTTCAATTTAGGCATGATTTTATTGTTACTTTTAAATTTGAAATTATTCACTTCCAATAATTTAATTTTTAATAATGAATAAATCATTTGAAATGAATACTTGCGCAATTCTGATCTAATTTAAAAGTGATTTAGATGATACATTTATTTCGAATCAAAACAAATGTGACAGTGCAATATGTCATTCAATTACTTTTTCAAATTAAGTTAGAGTAAAATTTAAAATGATAACTGACGCAAAAAAATATTTTCTTCTCATTGCTTTAAGTAATTTTTTAAAAAGTAAATGCCATTTTTCTAAAATGAAAAAGAATTGCTTTTCTTTTACCAAACAAATTTACCACTCAATTATTATGCTAATTAGTATATAACATTAAAAAGCAAAGTAATATTAGCAAAGTTTCTCACAGAGTAATAACAGAGTAATGTTTTCCATTTCAATTTTTTAAATTTAAAAAAAAAAAAAGAAAGTTTAAAAAATTTTTTAATGTAATTAAAATTATTCATAGTTGAGAAATTAATTCAAAAGAAAAATAGAAAATTTTTTTTTATTTTGAAATATAATAAAAAATGCAACAAATTGAATTGCTTTATTAAATATTACTTTACCTGTTCTATTTATAAATTTATAATCAAAAAAAAAAAAAAAAAAATGAAAAGAAAAAAGAATTTTATATTTTCCATAACTCGTCAAAATTATTTTTCTTAATTAGTATTTAGCTTATTATGTAATGCTAAACTGTTATTTAATAAAATTAGCTAAAATTAAAGGTCCTAAAATCTCTTTCGCACTAATTGTTAAAATATGAACGTAATTTAGAAGTTAGAAACTATCAAAATTTCAGTATTACTTATAAAAAATTAAACCACTAATTATTTCTAATGTAAATTAAAAGAGTGAAATATTAGCATAATTTTTTGTTTTATAAATCTAAGCAATTACTGAATGGCTTATTAATTTAATCAACTATGTCGTTTCATTTCATTAATTATTTAACTGGTCAATTATGCATCGATATTTATTACGCCATTACTTAGTTCCGGAACACCGGAATACATTTCCGCATTTGTTTCCGTTTTTGCTATGTTGCACTTTGTATATTTAGAAAGTACTTTTTCTTTCGATATTTTATATAATTATTAGAATTTCATATGCAAATAGTAGAACTGATAATCTGATACTTAAACGACGATTTTTTGGTAAAATTATTGTGAAAACTATGAAAAAGTTTGAATAAAAATTGAGCTTTAAGTCTGCCTTAATTATCAAACATATTCTAATGAAATTGGAATAATTTAAATTTTTGACAAAGTTTTTTTTGCAGTTTAAAATATTGAATCATTATGGATAATTAGCTGCTAAAAGATACTATAAAAAAATATTTTCAATAATTCAGTAACTTATAGCAAATTTTATTTTAGTGTAAACTTCAAACAAAATAAAAAAAATTAAAAAACAGATTTGATTGATTGCTATTTAGTTATTGAAGTGTGAAAGTTATTTTGTCCAACTGTTTGCTCAATTTTTAATAATAGAAATAAATTTGTTATAAATTATTGAAAAGAAAAAAAAAATTTCAAGTAATTATGATTACTGTCTTTAGCTATGAGTAAGCATATATCAAATATAACTGATAAAGTTTGATCAAAATGAAGCAATAAGGAAGTGATAAGATTGATAAAAGAAAGGTGTGGGATGGTGATAAGATTGATAAAAGAACGGTGTGGGATGGTGATAAGATTGATAAAAGAACGGTGTTGGATGGTGATAAGATTGATAAAAGAACGGTGTTGGATGGTGATAAGATTGATAAAAGAACGGTGTTGGATGGTGATAAGATTGATAAAAGAACGGTGTTGGATGGCGATAAGATTGATAAAAGAACGGTGCGGGATGGTGATAAGATTGATAAAAGAACGGTGTTGGATGGTGATAAGATTGATAAAAGAACGGTGTTGGATGGTAATAAGATTGATAAAAGAACGGTGTGGGATGGTGATAAGATTGATAAAAGAACGGTGTGGGATGGTGATAAGATTGATAAAAGAACGGTGTTGGATGGTGATAAGATTGATAAAAGAACGGTGTTGGATGGTAATAAGATTGATAAAAGAACGGTGTGGGATGGTGATAAGATTGATAAAAGAACGGTGCGGGATGGTGATAAGATTGATAAAAGAACGGTGTTGGATGGCGATAAGATTGATAAAAGAACGGTGTTGGATGGTGATAAGATTGATAAAAGAACGGTGTTGGATGGTGATAAGATTGATAAAAGAACGGTGCGGGATGAATGTGATCAAAAATGAAAAACTTTGTGATAATTTTCACTTATTGATTATTATTATTGTTTTTATTATTAATATTAAATTGCAGTAATTATAATTCGAAATAAATAAATCAAATGATAACACTAATCTTTGAGCTAAAATTCATTGACTTTACATATTTTCAAAGAAATTTTTTATTGAATATAAGATATAAAAGAAATCTTTCCATTCTCAAAAAGAGGAAATGCTTCTGAATTTTTAATGATTAATTTTATTTGAAAATTTAATGCTAACTTTACATATTTTTTTCCTCATATTATTTTCCCCAATGGAGTAATCATATTTGCTTAAACAATATGACAACAATTGATTATGACTGATAATGATGATAACACGAAACTTTTAAGTTATCCTAATAAATGTAGAATTGATGAATTGTCCCTTCTTTTTTTTTTCCTTTTCTTTTTTAAATTTTGTTTAGAGAAATATCCTTTAACTTTTCAAACTAAAATAATTGTTAAATTTTTGCATGACATTAAATAATTTTGAACATTTGCAAGAATTTCAAATATATATGAAATATTAAAAATAGTAAAAAGTTATTTACGACTGTCAAATTTTCAATTCAGAATGTTTATGTTTAGTTATTATTGCTTGAATATCAGATCATAGTACTAAATTAGAGGAAAACAATGGAACAAGTTTAAATGCTGAAGTTTATAAAATTTTAATAATGAAACAAGTCTAAAAATATTGCTAACCAGAATTCCATGTAGTCTAAACTGTTAGTAACTTAACTTCAAATTACTAATAGTAAGTTTATTTGTAGTTAAGTAATAAATAAATTCAATGCAGAAATTAATTTAATTAGTAGCAAAACATTTGACTAAGTTTCAGAACTATCGTACCTTAATTCGTAAATTTTTTATCTTTTTTGAAAATTTAATATAAAAGGAAAATGCCGCAGTTCGATTTACAAAAAAAAAAAAAAAGGAAAAAGAGCAACTGATCAGCTAATTTTTTTTTTTAATTTTTGTTAGCATGATATTATTACTGAGTGCAAAAGTAAAAGTCTATGTGTTGCGTGAGTAGAAAACGTGTGCTTATGACGTACGTAATATATGATATCTATACATATATATATGTGCTTTTTTCAGAATGCAATCTATTAAGTAAATTAAATAAATTGTTATTTTCTATTAACAATTATTGATGAAATTAAATTCCATATACATATTTAAATTGGTTCAGAAACAAACATGTATTTATGTATTTAATTAAACAAACATGTATTTCTGTATTTAATTACTTTTATTTACAGTTATTATGTATAACAGCTCTACCAATAACGCCAGTGTTAGCATTCGTGAAACGTTGGTTGTTTGGTTCATTGTTATGCAAATTAGTTCCATTATGCCAAGGAATTTCGGGCAAGTTATTTTGCAATTTTTTTTTTGCTTATTATTTTTGCAATTCTAGGAAAAAAAAAAAGCAATACAAAATTTTCCAAATTTTACTGAACGTACGTGAAATTGAACGTAGAAGTTACGTAGAAATTAAGCAAATAAACATTGATATTGCATTATTTAAAGTATCATTTCATTAGGATAAAAGTAAATTTTTAAATTCTTACTTAATTTCAAAATTTTAACTTTTAACTACTAGTAAAAGCAAGCATTTTTTTCAATGAATAAAAAAATTTCAGTTTTAATTTCAAGTTATTGCTTATGTTTTATTGCGGTTGATCGATACCGAAGTATTGTGATGCCAACTCGAGAACCGTGGACAACATATCATGCTTATTCATTAATGGCCATTTCTTGGCTTACTTCAGCCACTGTCTCATCACCGCTTTTTGTTACTCAACGATTACAACCATTAGCGCTTGAAAATACAACACTTTGTGGTTATGTAAGTTAAATTAAGTGTAATTTTAAACAAACAAAAAAAAAATATATATATATAAATTCTTAAAAAGTTTCACTTTTCATTAAAAATACAATTTTTTATCATTTGTAATTGATTAATTTAAATAATACTTTAAAAATTAATTTAAATAATAAACTGGATATTAAAAAAAGAGAAATAAATAAAAATTTGTAAATAAAAGATAGCTTTATGTTATATTTTATTTCGGGCAATTTAATCAATTTGATCTGCGAATTTTCGAGAAAATAAATAAATAAATTGACATCATTTGCCATTTTTTTTTCTTTTTTTGTTGATTAGATCTATTTTTAGAAAGAAACTTAGAAAATTGCTCAATTTCCCAAACATATTGATTTTCAATAACTCAATTTGTAATTTTATTAAATGTTTGTTCAAATTTTATTTATTAAATGTATTAAATGTTTGTTCAAATTTTGTAAATGATAGCCTTTAATTTGTAACTATTCAAATACGCTGATAACAACTGATAACAGAAATCAAATTAAAGCGTAAAATTTTTTCTTCATAAATTCATCGGTATATATATATCTTTTTGGATATTCTTACAATATTAGCAATTTATAATCTTTTTTTGCAATATCTATAATTAGATAAAATCATTGTCAGTCTTTGTATTATCTGTTATCAAAGTTTATCACTCATTAAATCATACATTAAATTAAATAATTCATTGAATTACATAAAATAGAGCGAAATAATCTAAAAATTTAATCATTATTTAGATGAATGTAATTTATTTATTGCTTACAACAATCTGCAAAAGAAATAAAAAAAAATTTTTTTTTAAAGAATTCAAAAAATTGAACAAATTTTTTTTTTGGTTTATAGTTTTGTGGTGAATATAATTGGCCAGCAGATAATCGTATTAAATTATTTTATGGTTCTATGTTACTTATTTGTCAATACCTCATTCCAGTAACTATTATGACATTTTGCTACTGGAAAATTTTACAAAAGGTTTAGTTTTCGTGTTTAAATTTCATTTATTTTAAAAAATTATCTAAATTAAAATCGTTATTTGCAATTTTACTATCACTTTTAATCAATTTCAGATGTTCATTTTTTATTCGCTATATATTATTTTGTTTACTTGTTTGTTTATTTTTTTCAATATTTATTTTGAATGACATAATGTAGCAGATAAATTGTTAATTTCATTTTTTTTTTATTTTTTTTTTTCAAATAAATTTTTAAATTGTTATAATTTTTATTGGCTGATCTTCTTAGGTTCGTGCTGATTGGATTGTGGCCCAGCATTCGATGCTAACTGCAGCCCAGCAGGCTCAAACAGCTGTTCGAAAACGACGGGTAATGTATGTACTCATATTAATGGTTGTTGTATTCATGGCATCTTGGCTTCCCTTAACAATTGTTAATATTTTCCGTGATTTTGGAATAGGTAATTTCTTCTTTTTTTTTTTTTTTAATTAACCTTAATAATTAATTTGATTAATTAGCTAACAGATTTTGTAATTCTCTTTTTTTCCTTTTTTTTTTTGATAATTAAAATTAGATTAGATGAAAAATTTTTTAACTAATGCATGAAATAATTATCAGCTGTAAACATTTGTAATTTGCAAAGTAATCGAAAAACGAAGGAAAAAATTAAAAATTCAAGAAATTAAAATTTATTATAATCAGTATAAATTCATTAACTATTCCATTTCAATCATTTTAAATTAAATTTTCAAAATACAAATAAAAAGGAGTGCTATGATCTTGTTTCAAATTTCTTTTTAAAATGATTTCTAAAATAATTACTTGAAAACAAAAAAATGAAACTAAAGCATTTGAGAATAATAATGGAAAATTATTTCGAAATTATTTTTACACCTTTTTAACATTTTTATAAATAAGAAAAAAAAAAAGAAGACAAAGCATGGAAAAAATTTTTCTCATCGCTTCTTTATTTTTATTTTGATAAAAGTTTCTTTCTTTTCTCAAAAAATATAAATCATAAAACAAAAACGAAGAGTTTTGATTTCTTTTAACTTTTCAAATTTTTTTTTAAAAAAATGATTTCTAAAATAAATGCTAGAAAAAATAAGCGAATTTATTGATTGATTTAAATTTAAATATGTAAAATTATTGCAGAAGCATTTTTGGATATACAAATGTACTTCAAATTGCTCAATGTTCATGCAATAGCAATGACTTCCATTGTTTGGAATCCATTATTATACTTTTGGATGAGTAAGGTTAGATTTTTGATTTTTTAAAAAAAAAAACAAAAAAAAAAAAAAATCAAAGAAACGAGAAAAGAAAATCTTAAAATTCCTTTTTTCAAATTACTTACACTTCATTCTTCTTTCCCTCTCAAAATAGATCTTTTTTTTATTGACAAAAAAAGAAAAGAACGAAGAGAAAATTGATGAAAAATTCAAAAATAAAATTTAAAAATTGGTATTTATTAATAAAAAAAAAAAGTAGGCAAAAGATTAGTTTAATGATAGTAAAATTTAATTTTTGAGGTCTTATATACGGTATGGGAAGAGTAATACGATATTCATTCAGTCAACCAATTGGAACTATTCCTCATTTATATGAAAAAGAAATGAATAATATTTATTTTTGTTTACAAACAATTTATGCTATATGATTAAAATAAAAAAAAAGAAAAGAAAGAAAAATTAATAAAGAAAAAAAAAGGAAGAAAGTTAATCAATTTTTTTTTCCATTTTTCTTAATTTATATTTCCTTCATTCCTTCCTTCCTTTTTTTTCGTATTCATTTATTTTTATTTGTCCGTTATTGTTTTTTTTTTTTTTTTTAAACTATTAAATGATCAATTTATGATATAAGCTATTAAAAAAAATAATACAAATAAGTTTAAGTTAATTTTTTTAAATGAAATTATTTCTTACTTTCTTCCTATTATCATCGTCTCTTCCTCTCTCTTTTTTTTTCTTAATCTTATTTTCATTTTAATCATTTTAATTGCTTATTTCATTCTCATCTTTTTTTTTTTTTTGCTTCGTATGTATTTTTAATTTTGATTCGTATAAATGTTTTTTGTTTTTGCTTGCTTAAATCATTAAATTTTTTATTTTTTAATTCTTCAAATTATTTGTGAAAAAAAAATCAGTTTTATTTATTAATATATATTTTAATTTTTATGATCTAATAAAAATTTTTTTTTTTTTGATTTTTAAAATATTTTAATTTTTATGATTTAATAAAATGAAAGAAAAAAAAAGATTGGTTCTTTTAATTTCTATTTACATTTTTTAAATTATTATTTTTTAATTATTATGGAAAACGAATTGTTCCAAACGATTTGCAGCGTCATCGGCAAGCATTTAAGGAGGATATGATCGGTGCAGGTAATAATTATCGGCGAAACAACGATGTGAGATTGACAAAGCGTTTCGTTGTGACAAAAACGCCACAACCTGGCAATCTTTTATATAATCAAAATCATAGGCATTACAGGTATTTTTGTTTCTTTGTTTTCTTTTTTTATTTACTTTTTTTTTTGCATATTTAAAAATGAAAAGATAACATTGTTGAGAGTTGTTATAATGTAATAATAATCTAAATGAAATACTGAAAAAGAAATTTATACATTTTCAAAAAAAATATTTAATTTCTTTAAAGCTATTAACAATTGCAGCAGAATTTCTTTAATTTAAATACTCCTAAATGATTTGAAAAGTAAGAATAAAAAACAAAAAAAACAAAAAAAAAAAAACAAAAAGCAAAAATGCGCTTTCTCATATATCTTTAGATACTTGAAGCAACAATTTTCACTTCATGGTTAGAAGATATGTAAATCGATGATGGCTTAAGAAGAAGCTAAAAAAAGAAGCATTCAAAAATGAATTTCCAAAATTTGATAAATTTCACTATAATATTTCACTTGTAAATTTACGAAAGAAAAAAATAAAAGGAAGGACAAAGAAAAAAAAAAGGAAATCATCACAAAATTTTTATTGTCATTTTAATTTCTAATTTTAAAATTGAAAAGCATTCACAACAATAGAAAGAGAAAGAGAGAGAGGGAGAGAGAGAGAAAAGAAAAATGAACTCTTCATTTAGTTAATAGTGGATTAACCATTTCAAGTTAACATTTTAAAAAGCCAACAATTTAATATTTAATGATAATCGCTGTTTGCACTTTATCGCATTTGCCATTTCAACAAATTCTATTACTCAGCCATTTTACATTAATTTGCAACAACAATTCGAAACAATGCAAATTCACTACAATTGTATCTCAAATAGACTAATTCAATTATTTCCTTCAGTTAAACGCTCTTTCAAGAAAAATCTATCTCATCCAACTCTTTGAATAGATCTCTCTCTTAAGTTCAATTTAAAAATAAAAAAAAAAAAAGAGAGACAGTGTTAAATATATCTATAAGTTCAATTAAACTTGAAAAAATTATTAGTTAAAATTTTTCTTTTTTTACTTTTTACTTGTTAATTAGTAACATATAAAAAATATCTCAGGAAATTTAACAAAATATGCTCAAAATTTTCAAATTAATTTTGAATTAATTTTTGCAAAATTTTTTGAAGCAACAATTCCTATTGATTGCTTTTAATCATTTTTTTTTTTTGTTTTGTTTTAATTTCTATTAACATTTAAGCTTTGCTAAAATTAACTGCTAATTAACAATTAGCATCCTGAACATTCATTTAATTTTGAAAAAAAAAAAAAAAAAAAAACAAAACAAAAACAAAAAGAAAATGAAACACTTCAGAATATGCCAATTTCAGACGCGGTACATTGACTGATCCGACATGTATCACTGCTGAAAGAGCTTTTGCGCAAATACATGCTAATTGCTTCCTTTTGGTACCATTATTACCGCTTTATCAAGCATCATTGAACCAGAAAATGCAATTAACGACGCGCATAAGTCGGCCAGATTAATACTAAACAAAAAAAAAAAAAAAAATAAGCTAATGTAGGCCTCAAATTATGGACAATTAATGAGAGGACAAAAAAAAAAGAGCCTGGAAGTCTAAAAGAGACTTCTTAATTGGAGCATGTCAAAAAAAAAAAAGCATTTTATAATAAGATCTTAAATATGCTCAATTTTATTAAATCTTTTTTTTGACCACTCAAATTTTGTTGTTTATTTATTTGCATTGCCTTGAAATAAATGAAGAAAATATAATTGAAATAAAGTTGTTTTTTCGTTTTTTTTCTATTTGATGTTCAAAACGTTTGATATAAAAATGAATAGCACATCCAAAAAATTGCATCCATCTATGGCATTAACAAGTTATTTATTTATTTTTTTCACATGAAATTTAGCAGAATAAATTATAACCATTTTAAATTAAGATTTTTGTTATTTTCGATTCTTAGATAGATTATTGATTGTTTTTTCTATCAGCTAATTTCAAATATTAACAAAAAGTAGTATCATTTAGGTTTAACTAAAATTTATGAAAATATTTCATATTATCATTTCAATTTATCTATTACATCGATCACCAAAATAGAACTTTTACAAATATCAATAATTTACTTATCTTTCAATCCTAATTTATCTTATTTCTTATTATTTCTCTTATTACATTCCTAATTATTACAATCTTTCATTTATCATTGCATAATATAAACCCTCTCTCAACTTTTGATAATTGAACAAAAAACATACATGATATGAAAGGTAAAAGTAACATTTTTGTTAAATTGAACAGTTAAAATTGAAAAAGTTAAATGCTAAAAATCAAAATGCTAAAAACAAAACTTTTCAACAAAAAAAAAAAAAAAAAAAAAAGGTGTTGTTTTCTTTTCTTTCTTTTTCAAACAACACTTTCACATTTCTCTTCAAATATTGGTTTTATTTTAGAAAGAAAAAGAATGTTTTACAAAAAACATAATAAAATTCAATCGATGATTGATTGAAACATTTTTTTGTTGTAACCAAACGAATCATTTCTTCGCTTTCAAAAATAATTTCACTGTTTAATAGTTTTAAAACTGTTATTACTTTCAATAATGCTTAAATTATGGAAATTTTTCCTTGGAATTCTTTTATTAGTGATAATGATAGAGCCGATAATTGGACAAAATCCATTAATTTTATCGGTAACATGTAGAAATTATGGTAAAGTATTACTACGTGGTGAATTGGATGACTGTGTTCCGGAAAATTTCCGTTGTTTTCTGAGAAATCCAATTGTTGTTAACTTAACCGAACTTGTCTGTATTATGGATGATGAAAATTCGGCAAGCAAAGCACCATTGGTAATCTACATTGCTGTTTTAAACCATATCGAAAATGAAACTCTTTCATATTTCACTTCTTATAAAATTTAAAGAAAAAAAAAATTATATATATATTTTTTTTAAAATTGTTTTCTGTTTGAAAAAAAAAAAAAACACAACATTTCACCAATAATGTTGTAGTCGATTATTAATCTTACTGAAATTGTTGAAATAAAATATTGAAAAAAATAAAAATAGTGTAGGTTGTAGGTAAAAAATTAAGTGATAACAAATAAATGATTAATGAAAAATGAAAAAAAAAAAAGATAAAATGGAATGAAAAATATGTGAGATAAATAATTATGCAAAAAAAAGTGATAATAATCAAATAATGTATTTAATCAATTTAATAATATTTAATCAAAATATATTTCTTCACACAGGTGTCATGCATTGTGACCGGAAATGTTCCATTAATGAAGGAGAAATGTTCGGAAGAAGGTGACTGTCATTCCGTAACAGTATCCTGTCCAATTGCAAAAAAAATGGATGATGGCATTATCAGTGATAATGATGTGATAGAAGACGAACAAAATATTATCACTGAAAAAGCATTACCACATCCACCGCTGCTATCAGTTTCTGGACCAGAAGGTCAGATGCTTTATGTTTTAAATCATTCAAATATATTTTTGATATAAAATAAAAGAGAGAGAAAAAAAAAGGGATGGAATGAAAATTTGTTAGAAAGAAATAAGTTATGTAAATTTTTAACTAAAATCAAAAAATTTCAGATAGCTCTCGATCATGCTTCTTCTTTAGTGACAATAAAACCTCAGGTATGATCGATGATGGTAATAGAGGTAATATTGGTAATAGCTGGAAACCCTGTATGCCAGTTGATGCAGTTTGTCGTATGGTTGAAATGACAACAGTTGAAAAATCATCTGTCGCATGTACCGTTCAAAAAAATGAAAAATTGGTTAGTTAAATGTGATTTTATTTTTTTTACTATTTAAAAGAAAATATTGTTGGATAAAAAGTTTTAAAATTGTCAGTGATTTTTAATTCTTTTCTTTCTAGAAATTAAAACAAAAAATTCTAGAAAATAGAAAATTCTAGAATTTTGAAAAGATTAAGAATTTTACAATTTCTAAATCTTTGTGCATTAAAAAACTAGCAAACAAACAAATAGCAAAAAAAAAGCAAAATTATAAAATTTAAAAAGTTTTATTTGTTGTTAAATTTCTAGCATGAATGTTTGATAATCTGGGAAACTGATAAACAACGTTGCCATGATTCGAACTGTTTAAGCTTACATTTGAACTGTCCAGTACTGGAAGAGTATGACATGGTTTTACCAATACAAAAAAGTAAGACAGGTTGGTTTTCTTGAACTTTTATTTTTTAGTTTAAAAATTGAAGGAAAAAAGGACTGCTGATAATCCATTAGTTTAAAAAAAAAAGTAATTTTACTTAAAGATATGTCACTAAAAATTAACAAAAAAAAAAGAAAAAATTACTGGTCGATACTTTTTAGTGATTGTGTCGAGAATTAGAAATGCATCTGGATTATTATTTTATTATAAAATGCAAAAAATTTTTATTCATTATCACTCAAAATATTTCCAAATGTAATTTATTTTATAAGTCCAAATTACTTCATTTAAAGTACCAATATTCATTTATAAGAGCATAAATAGCTGAATGATAATTTAATTTGATTTAATTTTGACATAAATCTCAATATGCTTTTCAAATATTTCTAAATATAATTTATTTGATATGTTTATCAAAATTTTCAAATATAATTTATGCGAAAATATGATAGATGATATTAATATTTGAATAGTTTACAGGTGCTCTTGGTCTGGTACTATCATTAGCATTCTTTACTGGTGTTATTGCTGCATGCATTGGAAGTTATTTTCAACAAGTATGCCTGAAAACTGCAAATATTAGAAATGATGAAAATGATGAGAATGAAACGAAGTTCTGTAGAAATAGCATTTATTCGTCATATATTAATAAGTAATAACTATTTGATAATAATTAAGCAACATTACTCACTGTTTAAGTTAATGCAAAATATGACCTTTTTTTCCTTATTTTATGAAATTTAAAAAATAGCAATTTTGGATGAAACATTGCAAATAGAAGAATAAGAAAGTACTAAATAAAATTGGATGTTTTAGGTAAGCAAATTTAATAAAAATTAATTTTGATGATCAGAAGATTAAGAATGGAAAAGGTATTAATTAGCAGATTGAAAAATTGCTATTCAAATGATTGTCTATTTAACAAATAATTCAATTGGAAAACGAATTAATATTTTAAAATTAAATTTTAAATTTGTGTTAGAAAATAGAACTAATAGCGCAAATGGCTACAATGGTAATTTTTATTGTACCGATGAGAACTGAATGGAAATTATTGTGAAAAACATTGTTCATTTTTGTCATTAATTTAATTAAATTTGCCATGTATGCTTTTAGTAGCGAAACTGTGTTGCACGGATAAATTAAGAACTAATTTTAAAATATTTATCCCGTCACTATTATATTTTTTAAACTAATGTTTAAAGGCTTTTTAAATTGATTAAATCTAATTAATTAAATTAAAAATCAGTTAAATATGATAGATCTTACTCTAGTTTTTTTTCAATATATTTAATAACTTAGTATTGATTAGTGTGTATGATCAAATCAGTGCACTTAGATTACTGATTATAAGATTCCAATTAATATAACCAATACTTTTGCCTAACTATTAGACAAAGAATAAGAATAAATAAACATTTCTTGCTATAATTTAAAACAAATTTGCACAAAATTAAAACGAAAATTAATGAAATAATAATGGAAAGAGTAGAAAAAATTAGTTTAGCAGAAAAATTACTAAAAAAAAAATAAAACATTGTTGATAACAGTTATTTGTTCAAGATATTTAATTTTAGATATATAATGAAAGTGTAATGAAGGGTAATTTAAATTTACATTTTATTCCTGTTTAATTCTAAAAATTTAATTAATTTCCAAATTTAGAAAAAAACTGCTGAAAAATTTTTTCTTTAATTATTATCTTTTCTATTTTGTTTTGTCCTTTTTCTTTTTTTTTTCTTTTTTGTAATTACTACAAGAAGGAAGAAAAACGAATCGAGAGAGTGAATTATAAGAAAAGCCGTTCAATAGTAATTTCTGATTAAAAAATGAAATAAAAATTTGACTGTCGAACCTTTTACAAATGTTACAATGCACCGTTGCATGTGTAAGCAAAGGATGACCTTACCAATAAGCTTTTTTCACTTACTTAAATGAATTTCATGCCAAATACTCTCATCCTTAGGCATGAATTGCTGGGACAAAAACTGAGCCAACTGTTTAATTTTGAATATTGCTTAAATTAGTAAACTTATTGTGGCTCATAGCTCTTAACTGTAATATAATAATCATTTCAACGTAATAACAGGTAAGTAGTAAGTAATTGTAAAAATGAATAAATTATATGCTAAAAATTGCAGAAATATTGGAACAAAAAGAAAAAAAATTCGATCAAAGTAAGCTTTTAAAGATAGAAATTGTAAAAATAAGAAATGGAAATATGAGATTAGGAAATCGTTAATCTTTAATTCAAATATATAATGATATGAAGCAATGAGTGAAAACAATAGAACAAATAAAGCAGTGATAAATGAATGAATGATAGAATATGCGACAAAGTGATCCGAATTAAAATTCAGCAAATAATAAATGATAAGATTAATCGATCAATGCGCTAATGTCGCATCATTCTATCTCTTACTATTTTGGTGTTCGTTATTTTGCATAAATGCAATTCTTGCTGAAGCGGAATAAATTCATTCCTTTTGCGCCTATCTATTTATAGAAGAGAAATGACTAGCAGCTATTTGTCGCACAATGATTACGCTACGAGGTTTGTGCCACATATTGAGAGAAGGAGAGATATGCCTATTAATAGACCTACAGTAAAAATCAATGAAATCAATCAATAACGGTGGGAAAATAATTTAAAAACAAAATATCTTATAGAAAACTGAGAACAAAACGAGAAAGAGCAATGAATTTTAACAAAATAAGTCATTTCAAAAGTTTTGTAAACATATATCATTTCAATAGTTTGTAATTTATTAAACTACGATTGATGATATATAAAACTACATAAGGTCTAAGTTAGAAATTTTGAAATAACAATTTATAGCAATTTCGAAATAACTGTTAAAATTTAATTGCTCTCCTTTTCGTCTTTAAAATAAATATAAGATAAAATTATAAGAAGTGGGGAGGAAATTTTTAATTATAATACCAATAGATAGATCGCAAATAATTTTTACACCAATTCGGAATTTGATCTCCTCGGCGTGGAACAAACTTTTCCTCTTCATTCTGCTATTCAAAAAGATCAGAGTGAATGATATAAGAAGTAATTTGTCGTCATAAATTGTCACCAATGTTGTGTTTGCTTACTTATTTCTAAATTAATTGACCTCTTTATACTAATTGACCTTTCTACACCTTACAAATGTTGAATTAATTAGAAGTGATCTTCATCATATAGCTGCTTAGCCCTTCAACAATATACAGAGCACCCTGAATTATTTATAGAAATCATTCCTACATCTATCCATTTTCCAAATCATTTCTTTGTTTATGAATTTGTTAGCTTATTAATTTGTTGGAACTAAAACATAAAGGAATCATATAGTTCATTTTCAGTTTTCTTGAAAACGATGTGTTTTTTGCTCAATTTCTGAACATTTTAGAGAAATACGAAGTAACATCTCCAAGTAAGTTTATGAAACTAAAATTTTTTCCCCACTTCAGGTTATTTCCATTTGAATCAAATACCTAACCAACATACAAATCCTTATATATTAAAATTTCTAGGATGAAAATTTTGTTAGACTTAATTTCATTGCATCCTGCCTTAAAAGTTTTCTCAGACAATGAAATTCAAAATATCAATCCTTTTTGTAGGAAAGAGTTGAACCTCAGTAAGACCAATCGAAGGAGGATCTCGATTTGATAATACGCCTTAAATCAGAACGGATTTGAAGAAAAATGGCAGCATGAAATGGAATAATCAACATTGACTGCTGTCACTTTCAGGTTTAGTCATATTTCATCTATTTTTGAGTGCTCTAAACGAGCGCTTTAGCAAATTTCAGTTATTTGAAAAAATTTGTTAAAACTTCCGACCATTTTCAGAATCATTCAGGATTTTCGCCACGTCCATTTCAAAGTTTCACTTTTACAATCGATGGATATGATGGATTGTTGAGAAAATAATTGACAACAATTGCTGCAAATCGCATTCGTCAATCTTGCACAATTCTAATAATAGCTTTAAAAGCTATTTTCTGTAATCAATATTTGCTTTCTCTTAAATTCACAACGTTTATCTATGTATGTTGTAAATTTTATAATGGAACAATGACTGCGATTTTGTCCTCTGCAATGGAGAAGTAAGTTATCGGTTTCGAAAAAACGCGCATATCAAGAAGGTTAAGGGGTCAACTGATTAGTGCATTAAATTAATTTATATGTTTAATATTTTGTGTTTGTTTTATTGTTGCATAGATAGACAGTTGTAAAATTATTTTTCAAAATTTATTGCTAATTTCATTTTATTATTTGATGTGTTGTACAATATGTGAAATCGCTTTTTTTTGATTTTCAAATAAACAATAGGATTTAAAGAGCTATTTCTCAGAGATATTATATTTTAATAAATTTAATCGTAATTTCATAATTTGCACTTTTGCAATATCATTGCGGTTGAACTATGGTCGCTACATAAATAATAATCATCTAAAATTGATAAAGCTTACCTCAGGAACACAATTTGATACTGAAGTGCAACAGATTCAGAAAATGTATACATAGCACCGAATTGTCAATCTTGAAATTTTTTCTGAAAAAAAAGAACTTATTTTCAAGTGTTATAAGATAGTTTCAAGTATAAGTTGATCTACGAAAAAAACAATATTTAAAGTTTATTCTTTTTTTACTGCATGCATAAACGATTTATGCATGCAGTAAAAATCGTTTATTCGGTGCTTTACAATGAGACAAAGATTAAGTAAATTGAATTGCAAACAAAAGAAGAAAAAATTACTGTGGTAATGGGAAAATCCGATAATAATACTTAATTGAAAAAAACTTCTCCTGGGTTTTTGAGAAATTAAGTTTTCAAATTTTTGCCACATTGCAAATTTGAAAGTTTTAATTGAAAATATAAATTAATGATAAGTAAAGGGAAAAAAGACGTATTTCATTGAAAAAAAAAAATTAAAAATGACATCCGAAACGCCTGTTTCAATAAATGTAATTTTGTCCAATGACTTATGTAATTGGTAGTACCATAAACCGAACAGTACATTCTAATTCATGGGCATATTTATCAAAAGATATCACAATAGAATATGGTTGCCCGTAAAAATGGGTACCCTAATGTAAATGGTTTTCCATTATGCTCATTTTTTTATGACCTTCTCTATCAATATAGTATTTTACAATACGCAATTATATTTTCATAATGTGCTTTGTTTTTTATTTATCTATTATTATTTATTTTTTTTTGTGCTCCTGCAGTATTAAATTTTATTCCTTTTTAAATTTTTTTTTTACTAAATTTTTTTAAAAATATTATTAAATTTTATAAACGCATCAAATAAATTGTATTTAGAAATATTTGAAAAGCATAATAAGATTTATGTCAAAATTAAATTAAATTATGACTCATTTATGCTGTTGTAAATGAATAAAACTTTTTAATAAATTTAATGAAAAAAATTTTTAAAAAGAATAAAAAGTAAAAATGCAGAAGCATAAAAGAAAAAATAAATAAATAAAAAACAGGGTACATTATGAAAATACAATTCTATATTGTAATTTTGAGACACCATGCTATAAAGGGGAAGCAGTGAAAATTAAACACTGAAAGTTGAAAATTAACAAACCTTTGAAATGGTCGATACAACCGAGCATGAGAAGAATTCTGTTTGCTGAATCTAAG